CCTGCTAATATTATGTTAGCTTCCTCTGGATCGCCTGTCGCTTAAACCTGCTAATATTATCACGGTTAAAACAACTAACTGATTTACTAACTGCTGGGTCAGAAGCTGTCTTGATAATCAGTTGAAAGATGTTTCAAGCAAATACCTCAGTCTTCATTTCTAGCTTCTCTGCCTTATTCTAGCTGTTGATTAGCCTGCTAGCTATGTGAGCCATTAGCTAGTTGGGTAACCAATAGATAAGGTTGTACGTGTTATAGTTAGTTCAGCTGTTAGCTGTTAGTGACTTTTATATCAACAGTTGTTTCGCCCTGCTATAGCTGACCTTGTTTTGGTTCCAGTTAGCTTCTATTGAATCACATGAAGCTTAAACATGCTAACAGTGCCCCTAAAACAACCGACTCTTTATCTAATTCAAGCGTCTCTGGCTGATTGTAGCTGTTAGCTTAGCCTGCCAGGGGCACCTTAAGTGTACATCCTGTTAGCTAATTGGGGTGCTGTTAGCTTAGCCTGCCAGTGATACGCTTGGCTAAAGCTCCACTTGCTAGTTTTGGATCATCAGTATTGTAGCCCTGCTAACGTAACATTAGCTTTGGTTGCTGTTAGCTAACGCTTGTAGCTCAGCATGATGCATGTATTGGCTGATGGGTAAAATGACAGATGATGTTGTTCAGCTCGTGTTTCACTGTGAAGCGCTGTAGGAGAGGACTGGACGTATAAAAGCTCCGTTTATGAGGGTTTCTGTGGTTCAGCGTCATCAACGTTTAACGGTTGCTGCAGACTCGATCCTGGAGCCCCCTGGTGGTCACGTCGATGTTTGATGACATCAGTGACGTTTTAACCGTCCTTCACTGCGTCGGTTAGGCTCATTTTTTAGGGATGCTTTATGACCTTTGTGACCGGGCCGGTGCAGTCGGACCGTTCTACGACCAGGACCGGTTGAAGGTAGAGCGTCTAAACAGAACCAGGACCTTTAACTCAGATAGAAGGTCCAGTTGGGTGATATCCAAACCGCAGCCTCCTGTCTGCTCTCAGGTTTTACCGTCACGCCGACTCGCTCTCTTGTCGTGGATTTAAAGCGACTCGACAGACTCGACTCGTGGGACTCGTTCACTGAACTTTGCTGTTTACTGAAAACTCTGCTTCTTCTGGCCGGCGGAAGTTTTACGCTTCACAGAAAACAAATGCGTTCTTGTCCTGATTTTTTTCGTCGCCGTGGAAACCAGCGACCCTTCGAGTTCCTGGCGTCACCGTGGCGACCGAACAGAACCTCCCGTTGTAAATCTGCCGGTGGACCGGACAGGTGCTGCCGCGGCCCGACTGCTGATTTAACGTCTTTACTTCGTTCACATCCAGAACAGAACACGTCCTCGTCTCTTACACACACTTCTACACTCGGTTCTGACAGACGGCCCGGTCCGGTTACTCACAAGTACGGCAGCAATGAGAACAAATACAGTCGTTAAAATATGGACAGCTGATGACAGAGTTTGTTAAAGTGTCTCCTTCTGTTCACTTTTATAATATTTCAGCTTGTTGACACAAACAAGCCAATAAATGATGAGCTGGATTCAAATCAGTGAATCGATCGATACAGAACCAGAGTTCATCTGAGTCACGTTTGGTTTGTTTTGAACACGTTTTATTTGTTTGAACCGTTTGTTTCTTTCCTGCTGTGTTCTACCGAGCCGCCGGTTCCGCTCAGACGGATGTTTGTCTTTACCAGACGTCCTCCAGCCAATCAGAGGCCGGCGCTGCTCTCGCTCGGCTTCCTGTTTTCTCTGACAGTCGACTTTCTGACTTTCACTGTTTTTCACAGAACCAGACGTAGAACATGTGAACCCAGTACCGCTGCCCTGGAGCCTGGTCCTGGAGGGACCGGGTCCAGCAGCAGAACCTGGATCCACGTCTGGAAACGGGTCCTTTCACAACAACTGTGGTTTTACTACAGAAACCACAAACTTCCGCATCTCGTGACTTTGAAGGCGCCGGTTCTGGTTTGTGTCACAACAGAGAAAAAAGAGACAGAACCTTTAATCATCTGACAGAACCCACAATACAGAACCAATCCAACAGTCAGAACTCAGTTTGTTTCCCGTCTCATGGTCCGTCACTGAGGTTCTGCAGCTCTGTGGAACCAGAACCAGAACATGGAGGAGGAGACAGAACTCAGAGATGGAATCTAGAACGTGTCCAGTGGAACAAAATGGAGGAAGAAGGTTCTGGTTCTACTGGTTCCACAGGATCAGAACCAGGAGGAGGATCAGAACCAGGAGGAGGAGGGTTCTGGTTCCACAGGATCAGAACCAGGAGGAGGGTTCTGGTGGTGTGTTCATACATATTTAGGTTTCAGTGTTTTTCGTCTCCTGACAGAACGTCCCAGATGATCAGGTCCAGAACCGTCAGAAACTATCTCAGAACTCACGACGACAGACTCTGGTGGTGGAACATCGACCCGTTTAAAGGAACCGACCCGCTGCTGAAGCTGTGTGTTGAAACTTCTTCATTTTAGGTCCAGGAGGTTGCAGCTTGGTTCTGGTCTTTAGAGGTTCTGTTCTGGGAGGTAGATCCCTCTGCCGGAGCTTCATTTAGAACCTGGTTCCTCTGGTGGAGGTTCTGGTCGAGGAACTGGGATCCTCCAAAACCAGTCTAATGGTCATGCCCAACCACTAAACCAGTCCAGAACCGGTCCAAACTATTATAGACTAAGAACAAAACCAAGCTAACCAAGTCCAGAACCTGATCCAGAACCAAAGGTTCTTGGTTGAAGGTCTCTGTGGTCATTACAAAGGTCCAAACTGGGTTTAAAGTTCTGATGCTGAAGATCGGGTCTGAACCTGCTGAACTTTGTGAACATGGTGTGTCCAGGTTCTGGTGTTCTGGTTCTGGTGTCCAGGTGTGTCTCAGGTGTCTCGGAACCTGCTGCTCGCTGGAGGAGCTCCGTGGGGGGCACTGCGCATGCTCCGTGGGCATGTTGGAGCAGCTTTCAAGTGTCGGTCTGAACACCTCCGCTCACTTCCTGCTTCTGAGTCGGACTGTTCGGAGGGAGGAGCCGAGCCGAGCCGAGCCGAGCCGAGCGGACTGAGAGCACAAGGTCCGACCTGCAGGACTGCCAGGTTCTGGTTCTGGTTCTGCCTCCTGCCGCCCGTGCGTCCGGATCCGCCCGGTGGGTCCGTGAACGCACCAGGCTGAATGTGACAGAAGTTCTGCTGAACTTTGAGCGGCTGTCAGACGAGCTCCGAGCCGGAGGAGGAGGCTCCCGGCCGGCCGCGGCTGCACCGAGCGTCCGCTGAGCAGCTCCGGAGCGGCGACAGCATGTCGGACTCCGCGTCCAGCTTCCTGCACATCGGAGACATCGTGTCTCTGTACGCGGAGGGTTCGGTGAACGGGTTCATCAGCACGCTGGGGTGAGTTCGGTCTGCTGTCATCTCCGCGGTACTGATCCACTCATGTATTGATTGTTGATGTATTGATTATTGATCTGCTGGCTCTGGGCTCTGAGGACGATCAGCTGACTGACTCTCCAGAACCATGAACCCAAAGCAGCTGTTCGGTTCTGTAGAGTTTCATTAAAGGTGCATTCTAACATATTGATCAGATCGATCTGCAGATGAAGATTTAACTTGTTTTGGATCAGAACACTCAAACTGCTAAAATCAGAACCTGGATGAAGCCTCAGGTGCTCCATGTATTGATCCAGAACCGATCAGAACCAGAGCCTTTCTGTGTGAGCTGAACTTGTTTGACGACCCGAATAAAAGACGAGAAAAGAAAAGCAGACGAGTCAGAAAGTTCACCACGTGAACCCAGTTTAATCAGAACCGGTCACCCGTCAGAACTAAACTCTGTAGAACGTGTTTAAGTCCGTCAGCGGCCGTGACAGTCTGAGCTGATGGGTCCAGCTCCACTCGGTTCAGACCGGTACCAGAGGCTTCAGAAGGTTTCGTCCGACTGCTCATCGAGTGTCAGAACCAAAACCCAGATATTTAATATTTAGACAGTTTGCTGGTGTTTCTTTTCCGGCGTCTTCTGGACTGAACAACGAGCAGAACCAGAATCATTCACCTGAACGGAGCCTCAGTTGGTCCGAAATGTGAGAATATGTGATGTGAAGACGCTCAGCTGGAGCAAAAAGGTCCAGATGACAGAATACGTCCAGAACCGCTTTATGTGTAAACATGAGCAGCAGCTCCTGTGGATTCACCTCAAAACACATCAGAACAAATGATCCAGTCACAGTTCAAACTGTTCAACAGCTAAAAGCAAACGGACTAAAGACGTGAACATCTGGAGAGAAGTGACCCAGAAAACGGACCTCAGAACCAGCAGCTGCTCTAAAAACATCCTGGATCCAATATGATGAGTGGTGCTGGTCAAGAACTCTGATGGAGGATTTAAACTGCTGCTCATTAGTGTTCATCAGAACCGGAGCAGCTGGTTAAAGGTTCGTTAAGACGTTTCAGCTCCTTTGTTTTAACAAATTCTGATCCGATCGGGTCTAAAAATCTAAAAGTCTCGACTGACCAGCTGAAAGTCACGAAATTAGAATACTATGTTGGTTCTGATTTGGTTCTGAGTTGGTTATGTTGGTTATGAGCTGGTTCTGAGTTGGTTATGAGCTGGTCATGAGCTGGTTCTGAGTTGGTTCTGAGCTGGTCATGAGCTGGTCATGAGCTGGTTCTGAGTTGGTTTTGTTGGTTATGAGCTGGTTCTGAGTGGGTTATGAGTTGGTTATGAGTTGGTTGTGAGTTGGTTATGTTGGTTATGAGTTGGTT